CCCCTCCACCAGCTGGGATGCCACCTGCTCGGCGCCATCTGCCAACACGGGCTCCACCTTCGGCCCTAGCGGGGCCCCTGGCGGGCGCCTCACACACACTGCTGCTCGCTCGCAGTGGACGCCCGGCTGCCCCTCGCTGCCTACAGCGATCCCCTGTGCCCCAGCAGGACCACGGCCCCCGGCCCCCAGCCCCGGCCCCGAGCAGGCAAGCAGCCCACGCCTGACCAGAGACGGAGCGGGCAGAGGAAGCCAGGAAAGAAGCATGAGCGACCAAGGATGGAAGACGGCAGAGAACTGGCAGGGTAGAGAACAGACACAGGAGGGTTGGGCAGGGACCTGCTGTGCCCAGCCTGCCCCCCAGCCGGGCCCTGGCTGCATGCACGGAGGGGCTCACCTTTGTCGCTGTCGGGGTCCGAGTCGCTGAGCGGCTTCAGGGGCGAGTGCAGGTCCTGGAAGTAGCGGTGGCCGGCCTCGCATTGCCACACAGCCGTGGTGTACAGGCCGAAGGTGGGGTCCAGCTCGGCCAGGTGCGGCTCGTACGGGCAGCGATGTTTGTGGTCTTCGTACCAGATGACCACATTCTTCAGGCAGTTCACGTTGCGCCGCCGCCCTGCCCACACCACAGGGCCAGGGGCTCAGTGCCACCCTGCCTCCCGGGTACCCTTCCCCTGCCCACACCACGGGCCAGGGGCTCAGCGCCTCCCTGCTACCCCTTCCCCTGCCCACACCATGGGCCAGGGGCTCAGTGCCACCCTGCCTCCCGGGTACCCTTCCCCTGCCCACACCATGGGCCAGGGGCTCAGTGCCACCCGGCCTCCCAGGTACCCCTTGCCCTGCCCACACCACGGGCCAGGGGCTCAGCGCATCCCAGGTACCCCTTGCTCTGCCCACACCACGGGGCCAGGGGCTCAGTGCCTCAGCGCCCCAGCTCTCTGCCAACCCACACCCCACTTCCCGCTGTGGGGCCTTTCTGGGTCCCCTGCCCCTTCACTTCCTCCCTCCCTGCCTCTCCCCCCACACTTACTTTTCTTCCGTTTGGGCTTTTTAGGGATTTGCTCCCAAGGCTTCCTACAACAGAGAGAGGCTGTGAGGGCGGGAGAAGCGTGGTGACGCCGCCCTGCTCTGGGGAGAGGGAGCTGCATCAGGGTCCCTGGTCCCGCAGCAGCCCCCCACGGTCAGCAGGATGTCTCTGCTGGGCTGTGCAGCTCCAGTGACGTCAGGATATCCTCCAGGTCCCCACCCTGCCACGGTCAGAGACTGGAGACATGAGGAAAGAGGGGGATGGGGTGGGCACCGCGCACGCACTGAGGTTAGGATGGGGCCCAGACCCAGCTCCGCCCCAGCTCCCAGCTCAGGTGCACCCTGGGAGGCGATAAGAGATGGCTTGTCACCCATCAGGCAGAGCTCCTGGCTCCTGGCTTCAGATCAGCTCAGCTCCGGCCATTGTGGCCTCTTGGGGAGTGAACCAGCGGATGGAAGATCTTCCTCTCTGTCTCCCCTCCTCTCTGTATATCTGAATTTGCAACAAAAATATATAAATCTTTCAAAAAGTTTTTTTTTAATTTTTAAACTTAGAAATGAATAAATAAATAAAGAGGAGCTGAAAAGAAGGGAAGAAGGCCACGTGCCTATAGATGAGCATGAACTGTAAACAAGCAGAAAAACAAATAAACAAGACAAAGCCCCAGCAGCAGCCGGGCTCTGGGGCGGAAGGGAGGGGGCTGCAGCAAGGACCCCAGAGGGGCTTCCAGGACCCTGCGCTGCCCCACTGCGCCTGCCTGTCGGGTCCCCAGGTGGCATGAACAGGCAGGGCAACAAGCGTCAGACCCTCCGTGGGCAGAGTGCCACGGGCACTCAGTGCCTGCCTGGCGAGGGCCCCGAGTGCCCTCTGGCAGCCCTGCTCCTGGGCTGGGAGGCGCACCTGCCTTGGCCCCCTGGGTGAGCGGGCAAGATGCAAACCAGGAATGTGAGTGAGGCAAGACCCCAGGTGGGAGGAATCGGGGGGACGGGGGAGAGCCCAGGACAACACTGAGGGATTCCGGCCTCCTGTGCAGGGACAGCTGCCCCCGGTGTCCCCTCTGCAGCTGACGACCCCAGGCCTGTCCTCCTCACCTCCTCTCACCCCCACCTGGCTGCCCCCTGCCCTTCCCCCTTGCAGGCACAGCAGCTGTGCCCTGACCATGGTCAGCTGCTCCAGCTTCTGCAGCGTGGCTCCACAGGGCGTCTGCCACCCCTGGGAGTGAAGGTGCCTCTCGTCAGCCAGCTGCAACTCCGCTCCCGTGCCCTCGCTCACACCCAGCCCCACACATACACCCTGGGCTTTGCTCCCAGCACTGCGCCCCCAGAAGCCAGGAGGCTCAGAGAAATGGGGTTCAAACGGTGGGGGCTGGGCGTCAGCTAGACTACAGGAATGGAGCCCCACCCTGCAGCCCCCTGGGGCCGTACCCCAGACTCAGGAAAGACACAGCTGCATACCAAGGTCGAGGTTTCCAAGGCACACCCACCACCGGGGGCCTCAGAGGGCCGGGCCAGGGACAGGAACCTTGGGGGACGCTGAGCAGCAGCTGGTCCATGGGGGACCGGGTCAGCAGAACCCAGCACTGGGTGGCCAGGGTGCCAGCGAGGACCAGGGCCCGAGAAGCCCAGCAGGCAGGCCGGGGCAGAGCCTGGGGTAGAGCTGCTTAGGACGGGGCGGCCTGGAGCCCGGCAGCCGGACAGAGCCAGGCCAGGGAGGTCAGCCGGCTGCCCAGGCAGGGAAGGATGCCCAGACAGCAAGGCAGGTGCAAGAAGGGGCGGGGCCTGTGACAGGAGGGGCATGACCACGGGCTTGCTGGTGGCCAAGGGGGCGGGGCCTCAGACAAGAGGGGCGGGAGCTCACAGGGGTCAGGGGCGTGGCCTCCCGCAGCCCCTCCTCACCATCCTCCAGCCCACAGCCGGGCCCTCACCCGTGGCTTGGGGCTGGCACCGGGGGCGTTGCCAGGTGCCGGTGGGGCGTGGCCTCCCTCTTCCCGCCCCCGCTGGTCCTCTAGGTCATCCCCTCCTCTCCCCATCCTCCCACGGCCCCTCCTCCGGTCCTCTCCGTCCTCCTCATTCAGTCCTCCCGATCCTGCTGAGCCTCACCCTCCCAGTCCTCTCCTTCATCTCCATCCTTCCGACCTCTCCGTCCTCCCGGTCCTCTTGGTCCTCCCTACACTCCTCTCCCTCCTCCAGGTCCTCCCTACACTCCTCTCCCTCCTCCAGGTCCTCTCCCTCCTCCAGGTCCTCTCCGTCCTCCTGGTCCTTCCGATCCTCCCCGTCCTCCCCGTCCTCCTGGTCCTTCCGGTCCTCCCTGTGCTCCTCTCCCTCCTCCAGGTCCTCCCCGCCCTCCCCGCCCTCCTGGTCCTCCCTGCCCTCCTCTCCCTCCTCCAGATCCTCCAGGTCCTCCCCGTCCTCCCTGTCAGGTCCTCTCTCGCTCCGCGCCCGGTCCCTCCTCCAGGTCCTCCCCATCCTCCAGGTCCTCCCCGTCCTCCTGGTCCTCCCTGCCCTCCTCTCCCTCCTCCAGATCCTCCAGGTCCTCCCCGTCCTCCCTGTCAGGTCCTCTCTCGCTCCGCGCCCGGTCCCTCCTCCAGGTCCTCCCCGTCCTCCTGGTCCTCCCTGTCCTCTCCCTCCTCCTGGTCCTCCCCGTCCTCCCTGTCAGGTCCTCCCCCGCCCCGCGCCCGGTCCCTCCTCCAGGTCCTCCCCATCCTCCAGGTCCTCCCCGTCCTCCAGGTCCTCCCCGTCCTCCCTCGCCCCGCGCCTGGTCCCTCCTCCAGGTCCTCCAGGTCCTCCCCGTCCTCCTGGTCCTCCCTGTCCTCTCCCTCCTCCTGGTCCTCCCCGTCCTCCCTGTCAGGTCCTCCCTCGCCCCGCGCCCGGTCCCTCCTCCAGGTCCTCCCCATCCTCCAGGTCCTCCCCGTCCTCCAGGTCCTCCCCATCCTCCCTCGCCCCGCGCCTGGTCCCTCCTCCAGGTCCTCCAGGTCCTCCCCGCCCTCCCTCGCCCCGCGCCCGGTCCCTCCTCCAGGTCCTCCCCGCCCTCCAGGTCCTCCCCGCCCTCCCCCGCCCCGCGCCCGGTCCCTCCTCCAGGTCCTCCCCGTCCTCCAGGTCCTCTCCATCCTCCCCGCCCTCCCCGTCCTCCCTCGCCCCGCGCCCGGCCCTCACCCGTGCCGCCCGCTGCGCTGGCCGCGCTCCAGCGAGATGAGGTAGGCGGCCAGCTTGGCGTCGCTCCAGCCGCTGCGGCGCCGCAGGTCCACCCAGGGCCCGTGCGCCTCGCCCAGGTACACGCGCCGCACGTCGTACTTCTTCCGGGACTCGAGCCGCCGCCGGGCCCGGTCGGACTCGGTGAGCCGGGGCCGGCCCCGAGCCTTGCGGCCCGCCGCCCCGGGCCCGTCCTCCCCGCCCGCCGCCCGCTCCGCCCGCTCCGCCCCGGCCTCGGCCGGCCGCGCCGCCATCCCCCCGCCCCGCTCGCCGGCCGCCCCCGTTGTTAGGAGCCCGGCCGGAAGTGGCGCGCATGGCCCGCGCCGCCGGGAGATTTCTCACGCACCCGCTGCCCCGCGGCGGCGCCAAAAAACAAAACACAACAAAACCCAAACACCCGGGGCCGGGGGTGCCGCGGGCGGCACTGCGCATGCGCCCTGCCCGGCGGCCGCAGCGCCTGCTGCAGGTCAGCGGGACAGTGGAGGCTCTGGGGCTCTGGGACCCCGGACCCCGGACCCCGGACCCCGGACCCCCGGACCCCCGACCCCCGACCCCCGGACCCCCGACCCCGGACCCCCGGACCCCCGACCCCCGACCCCCGGACCCCGGACCCCGGACCCCCGGACCCCCGACCCCCGACCCCCGGACCCCGGATCCCCGGACCCCGGACCCCCGGGGCCCCCCCGGACCCCCGGACCCCCGGACCCCCGACCCCCGGACCCCCGGACTCCCGGACCCCACACTCAGACAGGAGGAGGGCGGGTCCCGAGCGGGAAGCGTTTATTGGCCGTCACCCCTCGCAGCCCGCGGGGTCACTCAGCGCTGGCCCTGCTGCTGCAGGACCTCCTCGTCTTGGTCCTGGGCCTCGGGGGGCGAGCGCTCCTCCAGGCCCAACGAGGACGACGTGGAGTCCGGCTGCAGCTCCCCGCTGGACCCCGTCAGGCGGAACAGCACGGGGATCCGGGCCAGGGCTGGGTTGGTCTCCTGCAGAGCCTGGATCCACTTGGCCAGGGTGGCCTGGTCGTGGGCGCCCGCCATGCACATAGCGAAGACGGGGCCCTCCTCCACTGTTGGGGCAGAGAGGGGCGGTGACTGCTGCTGTGGGCGGTTCCCCCCGGGCCCAGGGGCCCACCGGTTAAGGGCAACTGGGGATCCCTCTTCCCTGCCCCCGGGGCTGCACCCCCACCCTGTCTCTAACCTTCACTGATGTCGAACTTGCTGTCATCCCAGCCGCTCCTCGAGTACTCCAGGTCCAGCTGCATCGGGTAATACAGGTTCCACTCCTCCCGGACCTCCTCCACTTCCTACGCCGAGAAGGGGGCCGGGCAGGGTCAGAGAGACCGTCCTCCCGGGCAGGCCGGGGCAGGGCAGGGTCAGAGGACAGGGCAGGCCAGGGCAGGGTCAGAGGACAGGGCAGGACAGGGCAGAATCAGAGAGACCATCCTCCCGGGGCGGGGCGGGGCAGGGCAGGGCAGGGCAGGGCAGGGTCAGAGGACAGGGCAGGGTCAGAGGACAGGCCAGGACAGGGCAGGGAGGGTCAGGAGCTAGGACAGGGCAGGGTCAGAGGACAGGGCAGGCCAGGCCAGGGCAGGGCAGGAAGGGTAAGGGGCCAGGCCAGGGCAGGGTCAGAGAGACCATCCTCCCAAGGCAGGCCAGGGCAGGGCAGGGTCAGAGGACAGGGTAGGACAGGCCAGGACAGGGCAGGGAGGGTCAGGAGCTAGGACAGGGCAGGGTCAGAGGACAGGGCAGGGTCAGAGGACAGGGCAGGCCAGGCCAGGGCAGGGCAGGGAGGGTCAGGGGCCAGGCCAGGGCAGGGTCAGAGAGACCATCCTCCCAAGGCAGGCCAGGGCAGGGCAGGGTCAGAGGACAGGGTAGGACAGGCCAGGACAGGGCAGGGAGGGTCAGGAGCTAGGACAGGGCAGGGTCAGAGGACAGGGCAGGGTCAGAGGACAGGGCAGGCCAGGCCAGGGCAGGGCAGGGAGGGTCAGGGGCCAGGCCAGGGCAGGGTCAGAGAGACCATCCTCCCAAGGCAGGCCAGGGCAGGGCAGGGTCAGAGGACAGGGTAGGACAGGCCAGGACAGGGCAGGGAGGGTCAGGAGCTAGGACAGGGCAGGGTCAGAGAACAGGGCAGGGTCAGAGGACAGGGCAGGCCAGGGCAGGGCAGGGCAGGGTCAGAGGCCGGGGCTTCAGCAACCTTCGATCCCCAGGGACCCCCCCCCACACACACACCCAGGCAGGAGTCCCTCACCCTCTCCTCGGGGGGCAGCAGGTCAGCTCGCAGGATGTGGTAGTAGACACACTTGTCCCGCAGCCACAGTGAGAAGGGGCCCTCGACAAAGACGGGCCGGGCTGGGTTATGGCGCGCCAGGGCGGCCTGCTGCTCGGGACTCTGTATTCCTGGGGTGGGCAGGGGGATATACGCCAGTGTGCCTGGGGCCTTGCCCGTGGAGCTGGCCCACCCAGCAGGCCCCGCAGCCGGGGCAGGGCCGCCACGCACAGCGCCTTACCCACGATGTGGGGCTGGGCCTCACTCGCCGAGTCGTCCGTGGAGGAGGGAGTCTGTGAGGAGGCGTGGGCGAGGAGGCACATGAGGCCACCCGGGTACGTCCAGGACGCTGACCCGCCTCCTGCTGCCCAGCTGGGGGGCTGTGAGCGTGCCAAGGGGTGGTGGTGAAGACACGGGGGTGCCCACATCACAAATCAGAGGGCTGCTGTTCTAGTCCCAGATACAGCACTTTTTTTTTTTTAAGATAAAATTCTTTGAAAAGCAAACACAGAAAACAGAAGCAGACAAATCCCCAGTGTGCTGGTTCACTCCCCAAGCGGCTGCAACGGCAGGAGCCGAGCCGGGCCAGCGGCTTCCTCCAGGTCTCCCGCGCGGGGACAACCTCTGCTGCTTTCCCAGGTGCCTTAGCAGGGTGCGGGACCAGAAGTGGAACAACCGGGATTCGAACCTGCGTCCATGAGACGTTGGCACCAGAGACGGAGGACCAGCCTGCAGCGCTTCAGCCGCCTCCTCGTGGGAGGCCCCTCTGACCCAGCCCTGGCTGCTACAAGCGCTAGGGAGGCAGGCAGCAGATGCGGCAACTCCGTCTCTCAGCCTTACATTTTAAAATTTATTTTTATTGGCAAGGTAGATATACAGAGAGGACAGGAAGATCTTCTATTCATTGGTTCACTCTCCAAGTGACCACACTGGCCAGAGCTGAGCTGATCCAAAGCCAAGAGCCAGGGGCCTCCTGCAGTCTCCCACGCGGGTGCAGGGTCCCCAGGCTTTGGGCCGTCCTCCACTGCTTTCCCAGGCCACAGGCAGGGAGCTGGGTGGGAAGTGGGGCAGCTGGGACTTGAACCGGCGCCCACATGGAATCCTAGTGCTTACAAGGGGGAAGATTACTCATTGAACCGTCATGCCGGGACCTCAAATAAATTAATTTTTTTTAAATGTATTAAACATTTGGGCCCAGCAGGGTAGCCTAGTGGCTGAAGTCCTCACCTTGCAAGTGGGGACAACCTCGCACACGGCACAGGTGTCAGGAAAAAAACTAAAGCAACGCCCCATCCGCCAGCCCCGCCCCTCTGACGGCCCCTCGCCCCTCCTCCCACGTGCGAGACCCCACAGAGGTCTCCAGGACTCCAGCCGCTGTCGGGGGCATTTGGGGAGTGGAGCAATGCGATGTCTCTCTAACAATAGTAAAACAAGGCGTGCGCCAGTTCGGCAGGTGCACAGGGCCCGGTGCGGGGCGGCAGCCGGCGGGGGGAATGGGCGTGGCTGGCTACCTGGTACACGGTGACCTGGGCACTCAGGTCCGGCTCCATGTGCCGCAGGGCCAGCCTGGCCAGGCGCACGGGCTCGGCGGGCAGCTCGGCCGGCACGGGGAAGGGGTTGATGTGTTTGAAGCGGGTGAGCCAGAGCCTCATGCGGAGCAGCTTCAGCATGGGGTAGCTTCCCCGCCCGAAGATCTGCATGAGCAGGAACTCCGTCTGTCTGTCGGGCATCACCCCTGCCAGCCGGGCGGGCCGAGAACAGAAACATCCCAGTCAGGGAAGGGCACGCGGGGAGGGAAGCGGCCCGCGGGGGTGCAGCCTCACCGTGGAACTCCATCTGCTCCAGCAGCGCCAGGCCGCACTCCTGCTGCCTCGGGTAGTGCGCGAAGAGGCGCTGGAAGATGTTGCGCGGCCGGAAGACCTCCTTGGGGAACACGTCGAGCAGCAGGTTGTAGGCGGCCAGGTCGCGCTGCACGCCGTAATCGCGCATCTTGCGCAGGGCCAGGTAGATGAAGTCCACGTGGCCACGCTTGCGCACGTTGTGGCGGCCGAAGCCCTGCACGGCGCGCACGAAGCTCGCTTTGTCCCGCTCGCCTCCGCCGGGCCCCTGCTGCTGCCGGAAGAGCTCCTCGTGGGGCGTCGGGACCCGGAGGGGTCTGCGCTCAGAGTGCTTGTCCTCCGGCGGCCCGGGGGCCACCGACAGCTCCGCGCTGTGGGAGGCTGCACTGCAGTGGAGCTGAGGGAGGAAGATGGGGGTGTGGGTGACGGGGAGCGGTGGCTTCCGCCGGCACCCCGAAGGCCTCTGTGGCATCCCAGTATGGATGTGTGGAAGGACATGGCATGTTGGGAGGCACGTGGGACAGCAATCATGGTAACGTTGGCCTGGGCCATGCACCATGGATACCGTCACCCCAAATGGCCAAATAACACTGGTTCCCGGGGAGCCCGCGGCAGTGGGGGGCGAGGAAGTGGTGACACTCGTGGCCATGAGCACGGACGCAGAGCCGTACGCAGCCAGAGGAGTGCAGTGTTGGGCTCCAAGAGCCGCAGGTCCCCAGCATCCTCTCGCGGCTCCCTTCCGCTTACCTGGGAGAGGGGGACCCCGCGGAGGCCGGCCCAGCCCCTGGCGAGGCCACGGGCCAGCAGCATGGCCTGGGCCCAGCTCATAGCGCCGTGGGTCACGCGACCTGCCCAAGAGACAGCGGGGACTGCGTCAGCCTGGCGGGCACAGCCGCACACAAAGGGCACGTTCTGTCTCGTGTTTTAGAGTTATTCATCGGAAAGGCGAGGTTACAGAGAGAGCTTCCACATGATCACTCCCAGGCAGCCAGAGCTGGGAAGAGCCAGGAGCCAGGAGCTTCTTGCGCGTTTCCCACGTGCGTGCGGGGGCTCAGGGCCTTGGGCCGTCCCCCACTGCTTTCCCGGGCTACAGGCAGGGAGCTGGGTGCGAAGCGGGCCACCAGGATTAGAACCGGCGCCCGTATGGGACCCCGCACGGTGCCTTAGGAGCTCCGACGGTCATCTAAAACGCTGGGTATGTTTTTTAGTGAAGAGTTCATTTAGGGTTTGGTGTTGTGGCACAGCGCATTAAGCTACCGCCTATGCAGCTGGCATCCCATACGGGTGGCTAGTGCATGTCCCTGGTGCTCCATTTTTTAAAAATACATTTTATTTTTGATGATGTTGAGAGGGATGCACGCCCAAGAGGAACACCAAGTAGAGACAGTGGAGGAATGGGCGAAAGTGGATGCGACAACTGCCTCCAGTCTCTTCTTCCCTGGGGGAAGCGGGGAGCGGGGCAGGGCCGCTCCCAGGGGCCCAACAGCGCCAGTGTCGGGGAGGGCACACGGCCGCCCGGTGTCATGCCGGGGACCCCAGGAGCCTGTCCCGACGGTCCTGCTCACGTGCTCTTGTTCTGCAGTGCTGCCGATTTAGCTGCTGCAGGCCAGAGGAACTGCCAGGCCCGTGGGCTGACGCGGTCCACCTCGGCGTCTCTGCTCACACAGATCCTCGCCGGCAAAGCTTGTCCGGCAGAGCTGTGCACGTTGTCCTGCCCTCCGTGGTCCTGCAGTCCTCTGCGGGCCTCCAGGACTGGCTGTCTCGTCCCCTGTACGGTAACCGTAGCCTGGCAGGAGTGAGCCCCGAAAGCCTAATCCTGTGTATGCCAGTATGGGCAGCAGACTGGTCTGGTGGGTGCTGCAGCCCAGCTCAGACCCAACAACCCCACTAGCCAGCCCACACTCATGCGGGCAGCTGCTGCAGGCTGTCCAGCCAGGTCCGCCCCCTGCCCTGGACGGCCCAGAGCCTTGGGACCCTGCACCGCGGGGGAGACGCCGAAGAAGCTCCTGGCTCCTGGCTTCGGATCCCCTCAGCTCCGGCCGTTGTGGCCACTCGGGGAGTGAATCATCAGAAGCAAGATCTTCCTCTCTGTATGTCTGACTTTCTAATCAAAATAAATGTTAAAATTAAGAAAAGTGTCAGGTGAGTGAAGGCATTGTGCACGTGGAATCGCATTTCCTGCCGACGCACCTGCCGACACCGGCCCGGCCAAGCACTCCTGCCACCAGGAGGAGGGTGAAGCCATGCCTGGAGGATCCCTTCCGTCTGGCAACTCTTTCCCACCCAACAGGACGGAACGCTATTGCTACAAGTATGAACCGGCCTCGCCCCCTCCGCCCCCCGAGGCAGGGAACCTTCGAGAACACAGGCTGAGGCGACTCACAAGGCCCGGCCGGCTGCCGACGAGTCCCGCCAGGTCGTGGGGTCCCTGCGGCCCCGACGCCGTGGACATTTCGGGGAGCCCCTTGCCTCTTCCTGTCAGAACCCCGCGCGGACACAGACACCCCGAAAGGTCGCGGCGCCCTGGCCTTGCCCCCCTAACCTCCTGGGGGAACCGCTCTCCGGCGCGGCTGGGCACGAAAGCGAACATCCTGAACAGCTCCCCCAAGCAAAGCTCAGGTCGCCCCCTCCAGCGCCCACCCTCCACCTACCTGCTTCACGCGACCGGACATCGAACCCAGGCCGGTTCCATGTCGCCACTGGGCGCCGCCATGTCGGCCCGCGCCGCTTCCGGGGAAATGGGCGGGCCTGGAGAAAGACAGCCAATCCAGGAAGGGCGTTTCGCTAGGTCCCGCCCCAGCCATGTAGAAGCAGCAAGTAGGGAAGACGAGTCCCGCTGGGCCCCGCCCCTTCAGCGCGCCGGCCACGCCCCCTGAGGAGGTGAAGCCGCGACCCCGGGGACCTGGGAATTGTAGGGTGGCCAGGGAGGGAAGGTGGGCAGGCCGTGTAGGGAAGGTGGGCAGGCCGTGTAGGGTAGCCGGGGAGAGGTGGGCAGGCCGCGTAGGGTGGTCGGGGAGAGGTGGACAGGCCGTGTAGGGTGGCCAAGGAGCGAAGGTGGACAGGCTGTCTGTGGCACGGGACCCTGGGGCTTGTAAACCTGCGACGCCAATTAGGGGCGCCTTGCTTTCCTCACCTGCAATGCTCAGGTGCATTATAGAAAAAGCAGGAAGGAAGAACACGACTTTTTTTTAATTGTATTTTTTTTTAGGATTTATTTTATTTTTATTGAAAGGCGGATATACAGAGAGGAAGATCCTCCGTCTGATGATTCACTCCCCGAGGGGCCTCAAGGTCAGAGTTGAGCTGATCAGAAGCCAGGAGTCTCTCCCGGGTCTCCCACAGGGTCCCAAGGCTTTGGGCCGTCCTCCACTGCTTTCCCAGGCCACAGGCAGGGAGCTGGATGGGAAGTGGGGCAGGCAGAACACGAACCGGCGCCCATATGGGATCCGGGCAGGTAGAGGTGGAGGATTGAGCCAGTTGGAGTCATGGCCCCTGGCTGAGGCGTTTCTTCAGTCTGTAAGCCACAGGCCAGCAGGGTGCATGGCGGAGTCAGCTCCCGTGACTAACGGAGCTGAGAGCAGCGTCAGCCAATCAGATGCTGGTCCAGGAGCCTCCCGCTCCTGCATGTCCAGCAGGTGCAGGGGCAGGCGTGTGCTCACTCCCGCCCTCTGCCTGGCGGGTCCGGCACACACCCGCTGGACCGCAGGGGATGTTGATGTCTCCCCCTCGAAATAGCTGTGGCTTTCCTGTGCCCTGGCTGAGTCATCATGACGTCCCACGCGTGCCAGGGGAGGATGCTCCCAGGCGCACCTGCTGGTTGGGAGTGTTAGTATATTCCTTTCCGGGAATGCCAGCGGCAGGCAGCTTAATGAGACGCATCCCATTTTGGGAACATCGACTCAGCGGCTCTGGGCAAAGGCGCTGATTGTTCCCAGACGCCACCCGCCTGAGCCCAGCTCATCCCTCAGGGAGCACGGAGGATGACGCTCCATGGCTGGGGCTGCTACCGGGAACTCCTGTGAAGCGTCTGCCAGCCCGTCCCAGCTCCTCTCGCTGTGACCCAGTGTCCCGGGGCAGCAGAGCATGCGGGGGAGGCCCCAATACCTCATCTCCCTTCTTCCTTTCTGTATGCCCTTCTATTCTGAAAATAAGTAAATCAACTAAAAGAAAAATCATTTTTCTTGGAAAGGCAGGTTTATAGAGAGGAGATACAGAGAGGAAGATCTTCCACCCAATGATTCACTCCCCAAGCGGCTGCATCGCCCAGTGCTGAGTCAATCCGAAGCCAGGAGCCAGGAGCCTCTCCCGGGTCTCCCACGCGGGTGCAGGGTCCCAAGGCTTTGGGCCGTCCTCCACTGCTTTCCCAGGCCACAGGCAGGGAGCTGGGTGGGAAGTGGAGCAGCCGGGACATGGGCAAGGCAAGGACCTCAACCATGAGGCTACCGAGTCAGGGCCGCCAGTCAACCTTTTAACATAAAGGGGAGGTGGAAGGGCACTGTGCCAAGCATCCCATATGAACAGCAGATCGATCGAGCCCTGGCTGCTCCAGTTCCTTGCAGAGTGCTTGGGGAAGTAGCAGAGGGTGACCCAAGGGTCTGGGACCCTGCACCCACACGGGAGACCCAGAAGAAACTCCTGGCTCCTGGACTCGAAGCAGCTTAGCCCTGGCCACCTGGGGAATGAACCAGCAGATGAAAAATTCTGTCTCTCCTTCTCTGTATAAACTATTTGGAGGGGGGGGAAAAAAAGCCTAGAGGCTTTTCACCCCGAAACTGACGTGGTTGATGCCAAGTGAAGCCAGCACTCCAAAACAAGGCTTTGAGGACCCCAGCTTCCCGCCTGTGATTTCTAGGGAAGTGGGGGAGCAGGGTGCAGGGTTGGGGGTCACAGGGTGCAGGTTGGGGTGCGGGGAACTTTGCAGGACCTCCAAGGTCAGGATTCAGGAAGGGGTCCCCGCCGAGCTGTGCACCCCGCATCCTGGCTTGGGTTCCCCCAGGAGCCCCCCGACCCCGGGGGACGCCGGGCTGCCCCGTCCGGGCACGAGCCCAGGGCTCCCCAGCCCGCCCCCGTCGTGCCTTGGCCGTGACTTCAGAGTCGGCGCCCAGGCTATAAATGGCCAAGCGCCTGGCCGTCCTGGACCGCGCCGGCCCGGTGAGTCAGCGCTGACGTCACCGCCGCCCCGCGCCGCCAAGCCCCGCCCCTGGCCGGGCGGGCCCCGCCCACGGCCGCCCAGACACGCCGCGAGCCCCGCCCACCAGCGCGAGCCACGCCCCGCCCCCGCCGAGCCCCGCCCACCGCCACCAGCGACGCTGACCCATCTCCATCCGTGAGAGGTTCGAATCCCGACTCCTGCACACTCCGTTTTCACCGCTTTGGGGTTCGCGTTAGGAACTCCAGGCCTCCTGGGGCTGTTGGGAAGCGTGAGTTAACAGACTCAGGGGCTCCTCTGAGTATCCTACAGGGTCTTACAGGAGCCACCGTCCTAAGCACACTGGCCCTGCCTGCCTAGGGCTTCTCAAACGCGGAGCTGGATGGGAAGCGGAGCCGCCGGGATTAGAACCGGCGCCCATATGGGATCCCAGCGCGAGCAAGGCGAGGACTTTAACCACTGTGCTCTTGTGCTGTACACTATTTTTTTTTTAAGAATATTTACGGGCCCGTCCCCCTAGCCTAGTGGCTGAAGTCCTCGCCAGGCATGTACATGGATACCAGTTCGTATCCAGCTCCCTGCCTGTGGCCTGGGAAAACATTTGAGGATGGCCCAAATCCCTGGGACCCTGCACCCGCGTGGGAGACCTGGAGGAGGCTCCTGGTTCCTGGCTGCAGATCGGCACAGCACCGACCGTTGCGCTCACCTGGGAGTGAATCATCGGACAGAAGATCTCTCCTCTGTATATCTGACTTTGTAGTAAAAACAAATAAATCTTTAAAATAAATAAATATTTAAAAAATTTTTTTATTCTTATTAGAAAGGCAGACGTCTAAGGAGGAGACAAAGAGAGAAGATCTTCCGTCCACTGGTTCACTCTCTAAGTGGCCGCAACGGCCGGAGCTGAGCCGATCTTAAGCCAGGAGCCAGGGGCTTCTTCCGGGTCTCCCACACGGGTGCAGGGTCCCCAGGCTGTGGGCCGTCCTCCACTGCTTTCCCAGGCCACAGGCAGGGAGCTGGAATGGAAATGGGGCCATCAGGATTACAACTGGGGCCCATATGGGGTGCCAGCTCATACAAGGTAAGGATTTTAGCCACTAGGCTATCACACCAGGCCCAGTAAGTGTCATATTTAAGAGCAGGTTGGCTAATAAGGGCCGTTGTCATCTTGGCATATCTGAGCCATGGACTTAGCATGAAGCCAGCCGACAGCATGAGCGTCAGTTACTGGTGTGGGTGGCAGCTTGCTGGCCTGTCAGTCGGGTGTCACCAGCGTGGCCTCACGTGGTCCGTCAGCCATGTGTCACCGGCGTGGCCTCACTGGAACATCTGCCTTCGTGGCCCAGGATGCCATCTGGCCAGGCCTGGCCATTTGGGAACAACCTGGCTGCGTCCGAGCCACTTGGGGGACACCCCTGGCCCGGAGCCTGCTGGGGCGTGTGGGGACAATTAGGAGAGCTCAGCTCTGAGGAACTGGGAGAGATGGAATGTGCTGCAGACGTGGGCACACCAAGGCACCCCAATTCCCGTGCTGCACGATACCACCCCCACCAGCCCATGTCACTTGCCCAAGGGAGCCGGTCCGGCTCTGAAACGCAGCCCCCGCTGGCATCTGCTAAACTGGCATGGGTCACGCAGCAGTGCCGCCTCAAGGCTCCTAGGAGACCCCAGACACAGACTTGGAGGCCCGCCGCCCCCCATACACATGCCAGGGACAGTGAGAAGGGGGTCCCGCACTCACTGCACCTCCCCTTCACACACCCCTCCCCACCTCATCCCTCCAAAATGGAAACAATGACATACTGGGCTCCCAATACCAAGCCCTTGACATCACGAGGGGGGGCGCCCTGCCCCGCCCCCTTGGCAGCCCCCGCGGCCAATGGGACGGCCCTGGAAGAGACCCGGGCCGCCTCCGGAGCTTCAAAAACCTGCCAGGAGGGGAAGAGCGTGCAGAAGGACCCTCTGCCGCCACTGCGTCAACTCCGCATCCGTGCCGTGCCCACCGCCCGCCTGCCGGCATGTCCTCCAGTCACTTCAACCGGGGACCCGCCTACGGGCTGTCGGCCGAGGTCAAGAACAAGGTAGGGCCGGGGGCAACCTCCTGGGCTTGGCTCGCGTGGTGTCTCCCCCGCTTCGGAAGCTCTCTGCCTGTCCCATCCCGAGCAACTGACTGAGAGGCGACGGGGCAGAGGATTGGGGTCGGGCTACTCCTTTGCAGCACCTGCAGAGTCCACTGTCCTACTATGGGGGGAGCAGAAGGTGGGGGCCCGCGAGACACCCCTAAACAGAGGCAGCCGGTGGTTCAGTTTGAAGACCATCCCCACCCCTCCACCCCACACTGGTGTTTAATCGCTGTATGTCCCTGCTGGGAACAGGGCAGCTTTCCCCCAAGCCTCCTGACTGAGCAAGGCTAGGAGGAGCGAGGCGGGGCTCCCAGACTGGGGGCTCACCCTGAGGGGAGAGGGGCTCAGAGGGCCCTCAACTGGGAACCATTTCACACCTGAGAGGGTGGGGGGGGTCGGGAGGGGGGAGGAGTCAAGGAGATTAGCATCCAAAGAAAGGCAAAAAAGGGGAGCCCCAGGATACACCCCGCAGAGAGTGGGGGGTCAGCTTCTGCGGGAGGGCGACCTGGCGATTCCCCACCACACCGTCTCCCCAGCCCGCTGCCCAGGCCAGCAGGGGCAGAGCCCAGCTCCATTTCACACAAAGGTACATCGAGGTTTAGGGTCACTTCTCTCCAGCACGCCGGGCGACCTGGGATTGGTACCTGGGTGCTGCTGGCGGAAGGAGGGGGCGTGAATCGCTGGGGGAGGGGGTGGATGCTCTGGAGGCAGATCCAACGTCACCCCCTTCCCCCCCCAGCACTGGCCCCGGGAGTGGCGGGCAGTGCAGCGGCCGCTGCTGCTCCTGCCGCCGCCGCCACGCCATATAAGGCGGCTTCAGGGAAGCCCGGGCCAGGCTATATAAGGGCCGGTTTGCTTTATAAAGCTGGACTGGTGGGGAGGGGGGCGGCAGGGCCGGGGCCAGGTGTGGGGGGGCCACAGGAGAATGGACAGCTGGGTTCCCCCTCCCCCGCACAGGGGTGGGGGGCTGGGGCCAGACAGGGGGTCCAGGCAGGCAGGGGTGGGCGGGGAGCACACTGGGATACAGGAGCCCATAGAGGGGCAGGGATGGAGAGGCACGGGCAGGCGGTCAGACCTGCCCCCGCACCATCACCTCCCTGGGAGTAGAGTGCGACAGAGTCACCTTAGAGAAGCTGGGGTCCGCAGCCCGGGGAACCAGGAAAGACAGACAGACAGCAGAGGTTGGGAACGGATGTCCATGGGGTCAAGAGTCAAAGGCCAAAGGGTGCTCCCTCCGCCACCAGGCCACGGAGACCTAACCCAGACCAGTCTCCTCCCACTCCGGCTTCTCCCGCCCCCTTCCCTTCACCCCTGCACATCAGCAGGGGGGAGTGGAAGAAGGCAGGGCCAGGAAAAGTGAAGCCCCAAGTTTGGCCTGCAGGGGGGACCAGGAGGCCAGGCGCCACCCCCTCCCAGTTCTGAGAATTCAATCTTCCCCCCACCCCCTTCCTCCCTCTCTCCTCCCCCCCACTGTGCCAAACCTCAGAATGTTGGGAATGGCCCCCCGGGCAGGTGTCACCCCAGCCCACCCGGCCCCCCTCCCTCCACGGGCGGATGTGCCAGGGGCAGCAAGGCCTTAGTTGGGCAAGGAAAGCGGTGGAGCCTGCGAGGGAGGCTCTAAATGCACAGCGAGAGGAGCCGCCAGGGCGCACTGCCTGACATGGCGGGCCCGTCCCCCGCTCCCCCGCAGCTGGCCCAGAAGTACGACCACCGACGAGAGCAAGAGCTGAGAGAGTGGATCGAGGGCGTGACGGGGCGCCGCATCGGGAACAACTTCATGGACGGGCTCAAGGACGGCATCATCCTGTGCGAGTGAGTGGGGGGACCCCGCCTTGCGCCGCGCGCCCCCGCCGCGGCACCCAGCTTTACCTCCGCGTCTGCGTACGCACGCGGAGCCAGCGTTTTGGTGGGGCGCCGGCTGACACCTCCCTGCGCAAAGTTTTTTTGGAAGAGAAGCAGAAACACATAATCATCATGCCCACTTGACAGACAAGGCAGACTGAGGCCCTCCTCCAGCCAAAACACACACTGCCCAGAACGCCTTCCAGACTTAGAAACATCTTCCATCCACTGGTTCACTCCTCAAGTGACCACAACAGCCAGGGCTGTGCCGATCCAGGAAGCCAGGAGCCTCTCCCGGGTCTCCCACAGGGTCCCAAGGCTCTGGGCCGTCCTCCACTGCTTTCCCAGGCCACAGGCAGGGAGCTGGGTGGGAAGTGGAGCAGCCGGGATATGAACCAGTGCTCTTATAGGATGCTGGCACTCGATGGGGGAGGGTTAGCCAGTTGAGCCATTGTGCTGCAGTCCCCGCCCCCAAGCACAGCTCCAGACTTGTAGCCGGTGTGTTCTGCAGGGGGCCCATCTGTCAGCGCCCCCCGAATGACCAGCTAAGGCTCGGACACCTCTTCCCCGGCCTGGCGATAACCGGAGACGTGGCTTCGGGACCTGGCACGTGGTTAAAGGAGGTGTAGGTGCTGGGCAGGCCCCCTGGCCCGCCGTGGGTCCCGCTGGGCAGGGCCCGGAGCCAGGCCAGCGCGGGGGTGACCGTGAGGGCTGGAACGCGCCCTCACAAAGCCCGTGGAGGGCAGGTGGTGGCTATTTTGGTTCATCCTGGCTCACGGGGAGGACAATGAGGAGGACGCACTGGGTGTCAGCCCGAGGATGTAGCATGTCTGTCCGTGCCGTACGCGTGACGCAGCAGCCGCTGTGTGCCTGCTCCACGGGAGCTCCCGCCCTGGTGGGAGAGGCCGAGTGGTCACCGGGCACTCAAGTGGGGACGGGGGCTGGGGAGGGAGGGAGAGGTGCCAGGAACTGCCTGGGCCGCCCCAGGGCCTGCGCGGTGGGCCCAGGAAGATGGAAGAGAAGGCAGGGCCAGGAGCACAGCCCCCCCCAGTTTGGCCTGGAGCGGGGACCAGGGGCTCAGCCCCTGGCCTCCCTGACAGAGGCTCCTGCAGGGCAGGCGGCAGGGCTCCGGGCCGGGGGCGTTGTGTGCTGGGCCGCTGTTATGAGGATGGAGGGAGGAGCGGGAGAGCCAGGGGGTCCACACGGGGTCTGTCTATTTCAGAGAATGAGACCAGAGATGTCCCCCAGACACCCACGATGGCCAGGGGTGGGAGCCAGGCAGAAGACACTGTGACACGGGGTGTGGCTGCCCCAGAGCGGTACCTAACGCCCGCCCCGGCCACCCCAACCTGAGACATGTGGAGGACTCCGCAGGGAGGTGTCCCGGACACGCGGGAACTCAGCAGTGGTGGACAAGAGGCCCTGGGCGGTGCCCTGCTGTGTCCTCAAGACACACCACAGTTAAGGACACTCACAGGACTTCAACCTTTTTTCTTTGACCCCAATTCTTAGAAAATCAAATATAGAGAGAAGGAGACAGCAAGATCGTCCATCTGCTGGTTCACTCCCCAAGTGGCCACAATGGCCGGAGCTGAGCTGATCTGAAGCCAGGAGCCAGGAGCCAGGAGCCTCTTCCAGCTGGGTCTCCCACATGAGTGCAGGTTCCCAAGGCTGTGGGCCGTCCTCCAGAGGCAGGGAGCAGCTGGGATGTGAACCAGAGCCCCTGTGGAATCCTGGCGCTTGCAAGGCTGGCACTCAGCCACTGAGCCACCGTGCGGGGCCCAAGGGGACTCTGATCTCATGTCCCCGTCCTGCCATGGCTGAGTGCCTGGTGGCACCGGGTGGGTGGCCCACCGCCTCTTCCTCGCCCCTCCCCGCAGGTTCATTAATAAGCTCCAGCCGGGCTCTGTGAAGAAAGTGAATGAGTCTACGCAGAACTGGCACCAGGTGAGTTTCTGCCGCTCCCACCCCTGCTGCATCCCAAGCCCACCCTGGCCCCCGCTGACCACCCCTGCTCTGCCCCCCGGCCCCCACTGACCACCCCTGCTCTGCCCCGCCCGCATCCCAAGCCCGCTGACCACCCCTGCTCTGCCCCTCCTGCATCCCAAGCCCGCTGACCAGCCCTGCTCTGCGCCCTGGACCCCGCTGACCACCCCTGCTCTGCCCCCTGGCCGCCCTCTGACCACCCCTGCTCTGCCCCCCCGGCCCCCCGCTGACCACCCCTGCTCTGCGCCCCCTGGACCCCGCTGACCACCCCTGCTCTGCCCCCTGGCCCCCGCTGACCACCCCTGCTCTGCCCCCCCGGCCCCCCGCTGACCACCCCTGCTCTGCGCCCCCTGGACCCCGCTGACCACCCCTGCTCTGCCCCCCGGGCCCCACTGACCACCCCTGCTCTGCCCCCCGGCCCCCGCTGACCACCCCTGCTCTGCCCCCTGGCCCCCGCTGACCACCCCTGCTCTGCCCCCCTGGCCCCCGCTGACCACCCCTGCTCTGCGCCCCCTGGCCCCCGCTGACCACCCCTGCTCTGCCCCCTGGCCCCCACTGACCACCCCTGCTCTGCCCCTCCCGCATCCCAAGCCCTCTGACCACCCCTGCTCTGCCCCCTGGCCCCCACTGACCACCCCTGCTCTGCCCGCCCACAGCTGGAAAACATTGGCAACTTCATCAAGGCCGTCACCAAGTACGGGGTGAAGCCCCATGACATCTTTGAGGCCAACGACTTGTTTGAGAACACCAACCACACGCAGGTGCAATCCACGCTCCTGGCGCTGGCCAGCATGGTGAGCGTCCCTGGGGCGGGGATGCGGGCACACGGGGTGGCACGGAGCGGGGGAGGTGTGGGGACACAGCCAAGGATCCCTGTCTGCTCCCTGTCCTCACATCTACACACCTGGCCCAGGCCAAGACGAAAGGCAACAATGTGAACGTGGGGGTCAAGTACGCCGAGAAGCAGGAGCGCAAGTTTGAGCCGGAGAAGCTGCGGGAAGGACGGAACATCATCGGGCTGCAGGTACAGCCGCCCCGGCTCCTGCTGCTAGGGCGAGCGGGGCCAGGAGGACCTGGGAGGGAGGGTGGTGCGGGATATGTGACTTCGGGCCACCAAGACGCCTCTTGGGGGATGCTGTCGTCCCACCCTGGAGGGTCTGGGTTCAAGGCCCCTGCCTTCTCCTCATCCCAGCTCCCTGTTCATGGAAAGCCTGGCAGGCAGCAGGAGGCTAAGGCACTGGAGGCCCTGTACCCCAGGTAGACGGGCCACAGAGAGGAAGTGATCCAGTGACAGGGCTCTCACGGGGGCTGGCTGACTCCCCTAAATGGCCACCCAGCCTGAGGCCAGGAGCCTGGAACTCCACTGGGGTCTCCCACGGGGGTGGCGGGGCCGAGTGCTTGGGTCAGTTTCCTCCTGTCTGCCTCCCGGGCGCATGAGCAGGGAGGCGGATCAGAAGAGGAGCAGCTGGGATTTGCGACTGGTGGCAGCTTAGCATGCAGCCCCACAACGTTGGCCTCTGTTGCAGACGGGAGGAGTGGGGGGACGGAATGTGGGGGTCGGGAGGAGTGGGGGACGGGAGGAGTGGGGGACGGGAGGAGTGGGGGACGGGAGGAGTGGGGGCACAGGAGGAGTGGGGCACAGGAGGAGTGGGGGTTGGGAGGAGTGGGGGACGGGAGGAGTGGGGGACGGGAGGAGTGGGGGACAGGAGGAGTGGGGGACGGGAGGAGTGGGGGTCGGGAGGAGTGGGGCACAGGAGGAGTGGGGGTTGGGAGGAGTGGGGGACGGGAGGAGTGGGGGACGGGAGGAGTGGGGGACAGGAGGAGTGGGGGACGGGAGGAGTGGGGGACGGGAGGAGTGGGGGACGGGAGGAGTGGGGGACGGGAAGAGTGGGGGTCGGGAGGAGTGGGGGTCGGGAGGAATGGGGGACGGGAGGAGTGCGGGACGGGAGGAGTGGGGGACGGGAGGAGTGGGGGACGGGAGGAGTGGGGGTCGGGAGGAGTGGGGGACGGGAGGAGTGGGGGTCGGGAGGAGTGGGGCACAGGAGGAGTGGGGGACGGGAGGAGTGGGGGTCGGGAGGAGTGGGGGACGGGAGGAGTGGGGGCACAGGAGGAGTGGGGCACAGGAGGAGTGGGGGTCGGGAGGAGTGGGGGACGGGAGGAGTGGGGGTCGGGAGGAGTGGGGGTCAGGAGGAGTGGGGGACGGGAGGAGTGGGGGCACAGGAGGAGTGGGGCACAGGAGGAGTGGGGTCGGGAGTGGGGGACGGGAGGAGTGGGGGTCGGGAGGAGTGGGGGTCAGGAGGAGTGGGGGACGGGAGGAGTGGGGGCACAGGAGGAGTGGGGCACAGGAGGAGTGGGGGTCGGGAGGAGTGGGGGCACAGGAGGAGTGGGGGGACGGAATGTGGGGGACGGGAGGAGTGGGGACGGGGAGACGTGCTAGCAGACGGGGAAGAGTTCTTCCTCTGCTTCTCTAACGAAATTAGCATACAGGCGGCGGGTGCCCAGCTCAGGTGTGCCTCGTGACCTCACGGTTATGACATCACTTCCTGGCTTCCTAGATGGGCACCAACAAGTTTGCCAGCCAGCAGGGTATGACGGCCTACGGTACCCGGCGCCATCTCTACGACCCCAAACTGGGCACAGACCAGCCCCTGGACCAGGCCACCATCAGCCTGCAGATGGGCACAAACAAGGGAGCCAGCCAGGTGGGTGAGGGTATGAGTCCTGGCCGGCAGGGACCCCCACTTCCTGCCGCCCTCCCTCCGCCCCCACCCTCCTCCACCTGCCGCGTGGCCGAGCCACAGCCGCTGTGTCCTCCGGCAGGCCGGCATGACCGCCCCTGGCACCAAGCGGCAGATCTTCGAGCCGTCGCTGGGCATGGAGCATTGCGACACCCTCAACGTGAGTCTGCAGATGGGCAGCAACAAGGGCGCGTCACAGCGTGGCATGACGGTCTACGGGCTGCCTCGCCAGGTCTACGACCCCAAGTACTGCCTCACGCCCGAGTACCCGGAGCTGGAGCCCGCCCACAACCACCACCCGCACAATTACTACAACTCGGCCTAGGGGCGCCCCCCTCCAGCCCTACCTCTTCCCAGGCCACCTGCTGCCAGCGGCCCTGCCAGCCCCTCTCCCTGCACACAGCCCTGACCCACTCACCCCCTCCCTCCCATCCCTGCCTTGGCACCAGCCTACAGGGTTAAGAGTTTGAAGAGAAGCAGGCTGCGGGGTGGGGGTGGGGGAGAAAGCTGACCAGTCCGGGAGGGGAGGGGAAGGCTGCCAAGCTTGACCCGAAGCTGGCATGCATGCCTCCCCGCCTGCCTCCCCCAGGGGTGCCACCAGGACCAGAAGCTGAAAGCCCCCTCTCCCTCTTGCGCCTGCCCGGGGTGGAGTGGGGGCGGGAGAGGCAGGGACACCCCAACTCCCCTCCCTGGCCCATGCTGAGACGCAGTGGACACTCGCGGTTAGGTTCGGATCGACACGGCTGGGACGGCGACCGCGGCGTTTGTGACGCGAGCACTTGTTTTGTAATTTCACTGGAGCACAATAAATAAATGTCTGTAAAAATCGCCTGAGCCTCGGGGCTCTGTCTCTGGGGTGTGTGGGCGGGGAGAGGAGCCTGTGGGAGTCACACACACACACACCCCTCACCCACGTACACAATGATACACGCACACTCCCAGCCACCGCCCAGGGGGCTTGTGGGGCAGGCAATGCCAAGGGCAGGGGGCTGCTGGCCCGGCAGCGGGGGTAGGGGATGTGAACGGCCACGCTGCTCAACGTGCTTCAAGGGAAACACCAGCCAGGGTGTCCTGAGAGCGCCCAGGTCCACTCTGGGGCAGGAAAGGAGCCCTTTGGCCCTGGGTTGCAGGGGTGAGAAGACAGGAGGAGGTGGTCATGGCAGGGCCCCCCCACGCTAAACCCCAGCAAGTGCCACCAGGCTGGTTCTGGGGTTCTAAGAAGGCTGTGCAGAAGCGGGAGGAGGGGTTGGAATGTGGGGGGGAGCCTGCGAAGCCAGCCCCCCTTCTCACCCCACCCGGGGTGTAGGGGGGCCTCCCTGCCTCGGATTCCAGGCGCGTTTGTCCCTGCTCCCCGCCGGGCCCTTCTGGGGGAAGCTATGCTGAAGATGCGAGTCTGCCTCGGGGCCCCGCCCCCTGGGAGGACAGCACCATATTAGCACTCGGCCAGCCAGGCCGTGGCGGTGGGTGGCTGGGCAGCTGAGCTGAGCCCCCGAGCCCCCTGACTGCCCACAGGGGTCCTGGACGGTAAGGAGAGGCACCACGGAAGGGGCCTGCGGGGCGGGGCGGGTCACAGAGAGGATCTGGCAGCCCACCCTGCCTGGGGACCACAGCTCAACACCCTGCCAGGGCAGGCGGTGGGGGGGCATGGCATGGCATGGAAAAGCCATCCGCCTGAAACTGCCTAGATTCCTGGGACACACGAGACCCCCTCCACTCCCACGGAGAGCAGCAACCCCCTCCCAGGGGGCTGGAAGCAGCCTAGGGTACACCAAGACTTCCCCTAGTGCTCACCTGGCTCACACTGGCCCCTATGCGCCCCGGCTTCCTAAGGCTGCAGCCAAGAGCGCCATGCTGGCCATGGCACCTGCCAGAGCTCAGCAGGTGCTGGGAGAGGGGTGTCAGCTTTGGCGTGGTCACCCTCCTCCAGGAAGCCCTCCCTGACCACCTCTGTGGACAGCTGGCCAGGAGATGTGGCCCCGCCTGCTCCCAGCTTAATGAATGAACAAACAAGGTCCCAGAAGCCGCGTCAAGCACCCCAAACCTCGCTTCACACCCCCCTCCTCTCGGGTCACAGAGTCACGGCTGGCCAGGAATCTGTGGGGCTTTTTAAAAAATTTTTATTATTTTTTCTTTTCACTGAAGGTCTTGTGCTGGCCACTGATCCCATGCCGGAACCTGCGAGTCCTCCATATAAGTTACGGAATGGGAAACGCCACTCCCAGGGCGGCCGGGAGGGAGGAGTCAGCCAAGGCCCCCAGAGGAGGACGGCTCCAGGCTTCGAATGCTGGGCCTCCAGCACCCACTGGGATGCAGAGAGGGAGAAAAGGGTGCTGGGTGCTACTGAGACTCTGGTGGTGGAGGTCACCACCCGCCCTCCAGAGGGGTCTGCGGGCTAGCCCACTGCGGAGCCAGAGGCCGCGGCTCAAAGCGCTGGGCCGGTCGAGGTCCTTAAGGCCCAGCAATGCGCCCTCCACCACTCCTGCTGCGGCCGCCCATGCCCAGGGCGCGTGCACGCACACGCGCGCACACACAGAGCAAGGCTGTACGCGCGCACACAGAGCAGGGCTGTACACGCGCGCACACACAGAGCAGGGCTGTACGCGCGCACACACAAAGCAGGGCTGTGCACGCGCGCACACAGAGCAGGGCTGTACGCGCGCGCACACAGAGCAGGGCTGTACACGCGCGCACACACACAGAGGGCTGTACGCGCGCGCACACAGAGCAGGGCTGTGCACGCGCGCACACAGAGCGGGGCTGTACACGCGCGCACACACAGAGCAGGGCTGTACGCGCGCGCACACACAGAGCAGGGCTGTGTACGCGCGCACACACACAGAGCAGGGCTGTACGCGCGCGCACACACAGAGCAGGGCTGTGCACGCGCGCACACAGAGTGGGGCTGTGCAGGCGCACACAGAGCAGGGCTGTACGCGCGCGCACACACAGAGCAGGGCTGTGCACGCGCACACAGAGCAGGGCTGTGCAGGCGGGCAGGGCCCCGGCACTGTCTCTGAGCCCGCGGCAAGGCCCGCCCTGCGCCGTCACTGATTGGCCGCCTCGCAGGCGTCTATCCAATCGCTGTACACGTCCACTGGTTCTGACAGATCTGAAACCAGCGGAGGGTCAAGGGCGGTGAGCGGACCACAACGGGCAGCCTTGGCTGCTGACCCCAGCCCCAGCCACACACCTGCTGCCCACTCCTCCCGCTCCATCTGCTCCACCTCAGATGTCGGGGTCAGGGGGTGAGGCGCTGCACCCCGACGCTGGGCAGCAGGCCCTGCCCACCGCACCCCGCCCCAGGCCCCATGCCAAGGATACACGTGATGGGCGTCTGGAATTCCTCTAGGCAGACGGTACAAGAGATGACTCCGGTGTTGCGGGCGCGGTCCCTGGCGGCAGGGGGCAAGGTGAGTGCATGGACCCCTGCACCTATGGTGGGGACCCCCTCCCCACACACCCGTGGGGAGCAGAGGAGGCTGGGGTTACTGGGGTGCACAGCGGCCCCCCGCCCCACCCACTCACATTTTCACGTCACAGGATTTCTCGTGGTTACAGAAAGGGCAGGTGAACTGGGTCTCCAGGGTCCCCGTCATCTTCTTCTTGGGGGGCGGCTTCCGCTTGGATTTGCGGCGTCCCATGCCGTGCTTGGATAGGCCCGGGCTGTGGGGGTGGCAGAGGGAGGGTGGAAGTGAGGGGCGCTCTGGCCAGCTCCAGGAGGCCAACCCAGCGGGAGAGACAAAGGGGTGGGCAGGGGTGGCACAAGTCCCAGTTGCCCAGGAAAACTCCTGGGCCAAGCAATGAAGGACTGGCTGTGCACTGGGGGGCTCCGACCGGTGGGACCCCAAGACTGGCTGACTTCGGCCCACAAGCTCCCACCCCCTGGGCTCACTGTCGATAAAATACAGCTGAGTGTTCTTGAGGCGCGGTGCCCTAAGCCACCACCTGCGCCCTGGCCTGCCTTCCTCGCTGGAGCGCGGGGTTCAGGTTTTAGCTTCCGGCCACACTGCACCTGGGCGATGCCCCCCCAGCCTGGGCCATGCCAGCTAGGAGCTGTGCTGATCTCTCGGCTGTCTCGGGAACTTTCCTGAAGACCCAGAGAGAGACCAGAGAACAACAAGCCATGTGGTCTCTCCATGCTTCGGCCCAGGCAGGAGCCTCTTCCGGGTCTCCCATGCCAGTGCAGGGTCCCAAGGCTTTGGGCCGTCCTCCACTGCTTTCCCAGGCCACAGGCATGGAGCTGGATGGGAAGTGGTGCAGCTGGGACTCGAACCGGTGCTTTGGGAAGAGATGCCAGCACCACAGGCGGAGGCTTAATCCTCGGCACCAAAGGTTCTGCCCCTCTGAAGGCTTCTCTGTCCCCAAGGAAACACACTGTCCCCCACATCCTAAGAAATAGGGGCTCCACCGGGCCCGCCTCGACAGGCAGTCCCCTCTCCTCCTGGCCCCCTCCCTGCCTCAGGACGGCCCCCACCAACCACAGAGACACCGTGCTGTGCTCTCGATCCCTCCCTGCCCACCCTAGGGTGCGACACTGCGCACCTCCCATCCCACCTGCACCCAAGGTCACGCACCCAGGACCCAGCGCGCCTGACCCCCACCTCTGCAAGTCTTCCCCACCTCGGTGCAGAGAGCTCCATCGTCCCAGGGAAAACACCAAGTGGGACCGCTTTCTCTGTGCACTGCCCATATCAGAGCCCACCCCTGGGCGAGTAGCTTCCAAGCTCCCTGCTGGGGCACCTGCAGCTCCTCCCCTCCAAGCACAAACTGCACCCCAACTCTGCAGATCCGCCCCTCCAAGCACAAACTGCACCCCGACTCTGCAGCTCCGCCCCTCCAAGCACAAACTGCACCCCGACTCTGCAGCTCCGCCCCTCCAAGCACAAACTGCACCCCGACTCTGCAGCTCCGCCCCTCCAAGCACAAACCGCACCCAGACTCGCGCAGAACTCGATCCAGCAGCCTAGAACTTGGGCACACCCGGACTAAACCAAAGCTCGATCCCAGGGACCACGCGGCAGCCCAGGGCCTGTGCAATGCCACTACCTGTGACCCCAGCAGCCCGCGATAGCCACTTCCAGCCCTGGCGGCCCCGCTTCCCACCCAGCTCCCTGCCTGCGGCCTGGGAAAGCAGTGGGGACGGCAAATAAGCACCAGCAATAATAGCTGGTGGACAGAGGAAACGGAAAAAAAAATTAATTTTTCGCCCGTTGAAGCCAGCTGTTGCTGCAGGCAGGCGGGACCAAGGGTGCCTGGAAGCGGAGGGGGCGGTAGAAGGTGCTGCAGTTGAGACCTTTCACACACCACAGCCCTTAGAAGGTTCCAACAACTCCAATGCAGCTTGGTCTGCCTGCAGCCCTGACTCCCGCCCAGAATCCCAGACCCTGTCTGTGTTGCGGCGTGTTGTTAATGTTGGGGGGCCACCCACCCTTCCACACCAGCTCAGGCTGGACCCACTGCTGAACCCCCGAGCCCCAGTCCTTGCAAGCGTCCTCAGACAACAAGCCAGCCACAACTTGCTGCTTGAAGGCTTCGAAAACTGAGGTGGATGCCCCCCAAATACCACTGACACCCCAGGGGTGTGGGGTGTGCACGAGAGGAGAGACCCTGCCCCTCCTAACCCCTTTCAGCTGCCAGGCCCAGCTCGGCCCCGCACTCCGACACCCCGAAACTGCAGCAGGAGGAAGTACCAGGATGCAAGAGGTGGCAGGGTGCACAAGGAGGGCGGGACGGGGTGCAGGAGGAGGAGAGGGGGTGCAGGACGGGACGGGGTGCAGGATGAGGTGGCGGGGTGCAGGAGGAGGACGGGACGGGGTGCAGGAGCAGGACGGGACGGGGTGCAGGAGGAGACGGGGTGCAGGAGCAGGACGGGACGGGGTGCAGGATGAGGTGGCGGGGTGCAGGAGCAGGACGGGACGGGGTGCAGGATGAGGTGGCGGGGTGCAGGAGGACGGGACGGGGTGCAGGAGCAGGACGGGACGGGGTGCAGGAGGAGACGGGGTGCAGGAGCAGGACGGGACGGGGTGCAGGAGCAGGAGGACCGAATAGGTCGTTCAAGTGGCTCACCGGGGCTCCGCGTCGCCGGAAGTCGAGTCGTCGAGGCTGTTGATGGGCTGGGCCGTCCCGCGGCCTCCGGGTCCCGCTCAGCGCCCCACCAAGGCCCGACCAGGCCCGACCAGGCCCGACCAGGCCCCACCAGGCCCCACCAGGCCCCACCAGGCCCCACCAGGCCCCACCAGGCCCCACCAGCGCCGCACGGGCGATCAACGCCACCTTCCCGCCCTGGCGCAGCACTGAGACGCCGACTTCCGGCCGCCCGCGGAAGCGGAAACCGCTCGCTGCGGGCCCGCCGCTTCCGCCCCGCCGCTTCCGCCCCTAACCACCGGCCCCGCCCCCGTCCCGCCCCCCGCCGCTCGCAGTGCGCCTGCGCGGTCCCTAGCGGGTGGACCAGCATCTTGTGTTTTAGGATGTCTTGTGTTTTTTTCTGACAGGTGGCTGTTCCTGCGCTCCGGGAGCGCTGGGCCTTCGGGCCGCAGCTGCCCTGGGAAGATGCCCAGCGTGCTGGGATGGTGTCGGGGGTCTTCCCCTTGCAGCCCCAGCTCCTTGGAGCAGGCATGCACGCACACCCTCCATCTGGGTCTCCCCAGGGTTAAGGGATGGAAAATGCCCCTCTTGGGCTAAGGGGGCACACGTGAGACCCTCAGCTCTGCTCTGCAGAGGAAATTCGAAGCTTTTACGTCACCCACAGCCTTGGGACCCTACACCGCTGTGGGTGGGACACCCAGAAGATGCTCCTGGCTCCTGGTCAGATCAGCTCAATTCTGGCCCGGGAGGCTGCTTGGGGCCTGAACCAGCCGATGAAAGATCTTCCTCTCTATCTCTCCTCCTCTCTGTGTATCTGACTTCCCAATACAAATAAAGTAAATGTTAAAAAAAAAAAAGTAGCCAGTTTTGTAACAAGTGACTACTTTGTAAAAAGGAGAGATTGTTAAATGTATCCTCTTGTTTGTGGTCACAGAAGGTAAGACTGTTTCCTGCAAGGATTAGGGGCAGTTACTATGTAACTAAAACCTCTATGAAATGGCTGGATCTGCAAGGTGACCGCCAGAGGGCAGCCGGGCCATTGCAACCAGGCAGCCGGACCCTAGGAAAGCTTGCTGGCGGTACCTGCTCTCACAGCCGGAATAAACGGAGATTCAGGCAGAAGGGGCTGCACACTCGGCCTCTCCCTCCTTCCCGGCCTTGTGGAGCTCTCAGTGGCAGGCATGAAAATGCTTGTGTTAAAACTCCCAAGTGGCGTGTTTTGACACTAGCAAGACACGGCCTGTCTCGATGGTCAGGAAGTTCCTGTGATGACCATGTGGTCTAGACCGTTAAGACAGTGCTGGGAGGAGGACGGCCCACAGCCTTGGGACCCTGCACCTGCGTGGGAGCCCTGGGAGAGGCTCCTGGCTCCTGGCTTCGGATCAGACCAGCTCTGACAATCCTGGCCACTTAAAGAGCGAACCAGCGAATGCAAGCTCTCTCTGTATATCTGCCTTTCCAAGAAAAAATTTAAACAATGTCTGATCTATACTACACAGGTGTTTGCTGGATGCTACGAATATTAATTTGCTTCTTTTTTAAAAAGGGATTTATTTATTTTTATTGGAAAGTCAGATTTACAGAGAGAAGGAGAGACAAACAGCTGATTTATTCCCCACGTGACCGCAACGCCCGAAACTGAGCCAATGCGAAGCCTCCTGCATGGGAGGCCTGATGAAGCCCCTGGCTTTGGATCGGCTCAGCTCCCGGCGTTGCGGCCATTTGGGGAGTGAATCAGCAGATGGAAGATCTTTCTCTCTGGCTCTCCTTTTCTCTCTGTAATTTCTCCTTTCCAATCAAAATAAACAAATCTTTTTTTTTTTTTTAATGGATGTGCCGTATGTATTTGAAAGGCAGAAAACAGAAAGAGAGAGATTTTCTATCTACTGGCTTACTATGCTAATATCTGAAAGAGCCGGATCTGGGCCAGGCTTCACCCGGTCTCCCAGCTAGGCGGCACGGGTTGGCATACTCAGGCCAGCGTCATCTCTTTGCTTTCTAAGGTACGTTAGCAGGGAGCAGCGTGGGACACAGAGCGGCCAAGATTCACACAGCATCACACATAGTGGCTCAACATGCTGTGTTACCCCCCCCACCCCAGGATATCTGTCTACTTACATCTCACATTCTGCCCCCAGCTGGCTGGAAGCCCCCCACCCGCCTTGTGTGGCTGGGACCCACCAGCCTTACCCACCCAGAGTCCCTGGCATGTAGCAGTGGGGGAGGGGGAACATGGGACATTGCCCCCGCGGCCCTGCCACTCATCCTCCATGTGACCCTAAATGTGCCACTTCTCCTTTCTAGGGTCGTGTCTCTGGGAGTGGGCACACAGGGCTCTTCCGTGAGTTCTGACTCAGAGTCCCCGGCCCTCCCCCTGGCCCGGCCCCAGGAACCCTTGAGTCAGTGGGAAGGGGCAGAATGCCTGGAATCGTTGGTCACGATGAGGGTCGGCCTGGCACTGGGCAGGCACTGGGCCCTGACTCCTGTCTGAGCCTGTGAGCGCTCACCATGACCCTGGCCCCGCTCTCCTCCGTGGGCTGGGTTCTCTCACGAGGCAGGCTGGAACTGGGAGCTCCATCCGGTCTCCCACGGGGCGGCAGGGACCCCACCCCTTGAGCCTACTGCCTCCTGGAGTGCACATGTGTTGGGGGCTGGGACTTGAACCCAGTTCATGTGATGCTGGCCCCACTTGGGGCGTGTTTTGTTATTTATTTTCTTGTTTCTTAATTTAATTTTATTTTTACTTTTACTTTTTTAAAAATTATTACCATCATTTTTATGACACAGTTCCATAGGCCCTGGGATTTCCCATGTCCCCAAATTCTCCCCACCCACCAAATTCCCCTATATTGTTACTATGGCATAGCCCTTCATACAGTCACATGTCCATCGTTGCGGGCATGGACAAGGGCAGAGAGTCCAGCATCCCACTGTCCAGATACAGCTGACAGTTTCATCGGGAGTCCATCTTTGATCTGGAAGTAGAGACGCACACTGCACTGCATCCTCACATCTGGACATGATAGTCTCCATTCCACAGTCACCACACGTCCCTCTTAGATGAAAGGTGACAATACAAAATCAACAACAGGAAGAAAAATAGACATTCACAACACCATGAATTTCTCAAAGGGTTTTGATAGTTCAGTAGTCCTGAATTGCTGTCAATCCTGCCACTCCAATCACAAGATCTCTCCCGAATCCACTGGCTGCTGTAGCCCACCTCAGAGTGTCTCCGTCTACCCAGATCTTCACTGCCAACACTTGGCTAGGGTCGTTGATCAATTTGTTCTGCCCTCCGTCCTCTGCCATGGTGCCAGGTGTCCTCTGGAGGCTCCGATGTACTGCCGTATCCTCCGTGTACATCTGGATGTGCTGTCCACTGCTCTGAGCCACGCAAGGAGGCCCAGCTCTGACACATCCACTCCCAGTCAGCCCATGGAACCTGCAATTCTCTCCATGTTGAGGGTTCTGAGTCCAGCAGTTCAGTTGATAGGGAATCATCTGAGGTGATCCCAGACCTGATTCTTGTATGTGTTTGCCAAGACAGGGTCCAGCTCAGTCCGGCGCCCAAATCAGCCTACACACACACTGGTAGTTGCAATTGCTGGGTCAGTTCTGTTTCCAGCCCCATGTTTTAGGCAAACTAATGGGTGTTGGGATCCAGCCCGATTCTGCCCACCACATACTCGGCTTTCAGTGGGAGCTGCAGTCTAGTCGGAGCAACCCACAACAGCCCCCACCAGGCCCGCCCCTGCCCTGGTTCCCGTGCCTGCCAGTGTGTAAAGCAGACTGGTCCCGTCTGCCCCACATGCCATTCAGTTCTCCTACATGTTGATGGGCAGTAAAGTCCAGTTCGGCCCAACCGGCCCCACTATCCAGTACCCACTGGTGCCAGTGGGCGCCACCATCTGTCTAGGCCATGCCTGCACCTGTCAGAATTTGGCCCCTGTGCCAGCATCTGCCAACTGATGCTGTGGAAAAGCCCAATCAATCCACACCGAGGCTGACTTATGCATGTACCAGAAGGTCCAGTCAGCCCAGCCTGGCCTTTCCCTGACCCAGCTCACACGTAGGTCATCGGATGTGGCTCTGCCCGGCCTGGTCTGCCCCATCCCAGCTCTCATGTTCACCAAGGGGAGTGGTGGCCAATCTAGGGGTCTTTGCAGCCCCCTCACTGGGACCATCCCCCCCGGGTCTTACATGTGCTGGCTACTCTCTCTATATATATATCTGACTTTGCAAAAAAAAAACAAAAACAAAAACAAAAAAAACCTGGACCTTGAGGCCATGTGGACTGCAAGGAACCAAAGCTGAATGGGTTTGCCCATGGTGTGGCAGCTGGAGCCTAACGTCCCGCTGGGGACGCAGCAGCAGCAGCAGCAGCGAGGGGACCACCTCCCCTGCAGGCCCCGTGGCCAGCCACACGCTCCAAGCAGGCTGCTCCATCAACTTAGCTGCTAGCCAGTGAGCCCCGGCCGCCCCCGCAGGGCAGCCCGCAGTGGTGGCTGAGTGGTGGCGTGCCTGTCCGCCCAGGAGCACTGAAGGTCACTCCGCCCACCCTCAGAGAGGAACTGTATCCTCTCGCAGCTGTCACCTCGTGACGCTCGGCCAGCTGCTTCTAGAAGTTTCCAAAATGCGCGGTCTCACGGGAGTACAGAGGCAGGCTGCGGTTCGTGCTAAGCTTCCCCTCCTCCCCCCAACCCCTCTTCTCTTCCTCCTTCGTTTTGCTTTGGTTCGAAAGGCAGAGGGACAGAGAGCAGGAGAGGCAGAGACGACCCATCTCCCATCCCCTGGCTCACTCAGTGCCCTGAGCTGAACCAGCCCAAAGGCAGGAGCCAGGAGCCTCTGCCGGGTTTCCCAAGAGGGAGCAGGGGCCCAAAAACTTGGACCATCTTCCACTGCTGTCCCAGGAATTGGATTAGGAAGTGGAGCAGTTGGAACTTGAACTAGTGCCCATGTGAAATGCTGGCAGACGGAGGCTTAGCCTGATATGCCAAGGGGCTGTCCCCTTCTTTTTCTCAAAGATGTTTTTATTTGTTTGAAAGCTAGAGAAAAAAGTTTTTCATCTGCTGGCTCTCCTCGCAAATGGCCACAACGGCCAGAGCTGGGCTGGAAGAGGCTCCTGGCTCCTGGCTTCGTATGGATTCAGCTCTGGCCATTGTGTCCCCTTGGGGAGTGAACCAGTGAGTGGGAGATCTTTTTGTCTCTCTTCCTCTCTGTATAGCTGACTTTGCAATAAAAAATAATAAATATTAGAAAAACCCCGCCCCCTGCCCCTGGGTGTGTGACCTGTCTACCCAGCAGCATGCCTGCACTCGCCAGTATTCAGCTTCAAGGTCACGCCGGCGCCCTTGGCAGGTTGCATAAGCTTGGCAGCAGTCCAGGCGCTCTGGGCGGGGGCAGCTGGTGAGTGGTTCTGGCACACCTTGGAGTGTCAGGTGGCGGCCAGGAAGGGGTTTGCCTGTTGTCCTAGGGGGCACAAGCAGGGGGCAGGTGTGGAGGCACTGAGCCAGCCCAGCGAGGTGCCAAGCGGGTGTGCGGGGCCCGCGGAGGTGTCATGGTGTATCTGGACGGTGGGCGTGTGCCAACCCTGCACAGCTGTGTTGTTCTGGGCCGGGCGTGGTGCTGCTTCGAGGTCACAGGGTCATTTAGGATGCGCATGCGTCATACCCGTGCCTGGGGTGAAATGCCACCTTGGCTGCTGACTGGGTCAAGCACACTCCGGGAGCGCAGGTGCCTGGGTCACCGCGCCACCAGGTAGGAGGAGGCCGGATGGAGGACCGGCCCTTTGGACATTTGGGGAATGAGTCAGCAGATGGAGGTTGGTTTTTCTCTCCCGGTCTCTACTCTCTTTTCTTTTCCCCTGAAAATGCTATATTTATTATTATTGGTGTTGTTATTTTTTAAGAAAGAGGGACCTGGGCCCAGCACAGTAGCCAAGCGGCTAAAATTCTCACCTTGAACGTGCTGGGATCCTATATGGACACTGGTTCTAGTCCCAGCTGCCCCACTTCCCATCCAGCTCCCTGCCTGTGGCCTGGGAAAGCAGTGGAGGACGGCCCAAAGCCTTGGGACCCTGCACCTGTGTGGGAGACTTGGAAGAGGCTCCTGGCTCCTGGATTTGGATGGACTCAGCTCCAGCCATTGTGGGCACTTGGGGAGTGAACCAGCAGATGGAAGATCTTTCTCTGTCTCTCCTTTACTTTGTAAATCTGACTTTCCAACAAAAATAAATCTTTTAAAAGAGTAAGCCAGTAGATGGAAGATCTTTTCTGCCTCTCCTTTCCCCGTATCACTCCACTTTTCAAATAAGTACATCAATCTTCCAAAACTCACAAGAAAAAGATGAGTTCCTCTCGGGGCAAAGCCTGGAGCTGCATCTGGGGGCCTGGAGCTGCATCGGGGGCCTGGAGCTGCATCTGGGGGCCTGGAGCTGCATCTGGGGGCCCTGGAGCTGCATTGGGGGCCTGGAGCAGCATCGGGGGCCTGGAGCTGCATCTGGGGGCCCTGGAGCTGCATCTGGGGGGCTGCATCGGGGGCCTGGAGCTGCATCTGGGGGCCCTGGAGCTGCATCTGGGGGCCCTGGAGCTGCATCGGGGGCCTGGAGCTGCATCTGGGGGCCCTGGAGCTGCATCTGGGGGCCCTGGAGCTGCATCGGGGGCCTGGAGCTGCATCTGGGGGCCCTGGAGCTGCATCTGGGGGCCCTGGAGCTGCATCTGGGGGCCCTGGAGCTGCATCTGGGGGCCTGGAGCTGCATCTGGGGGCCCTGTGCGTGACGGGGACCTGGATCCTGGAATCGTCACCTGCGCCTGTCTGGGTTCTACCGTGCAGACAGAGGGCCAACCAGTCCCCAGCACGGACTAAATCACGTGACCAGCCAGCCGCAGGTGTGGCCGGTCAGTCATGGGGGATGGCTTGGGCCCACCGACACCCCGACAAGCAGAACAACACATTCACTGGCTCCAGTGCAAACTTGGTGATTCTTGGTTTATTCAACGGCAGAGACAGAAAAAAGCGCTTCTTTCTCCCCGCCCTCTCCCTACCCTGCACCCCCATCCTCCGCTGGGGGAGGGGCGGATGAAGCTTCCTCCTAGGGCTGGCTTCCCCAAATCCATGTCCCAGCGTCCTAGAACGTCAGCGTTCCTGCCACGGCGCGGGGACCACATGGCGCCGTGGTTCCTGCTGGTGCTCGTGGGGCTGACTCTCGGGGCGGGTGGGGGGTCGCCCACTGAGCCGCCCCAATGCCCCCTCTGCACCAGGACCCTCAGGCCTTGGCCCGCCTCGGCAGCTTGGTCTTGAAGAGGGACTTGCCCGACGCCTCCATGTAGGTGACGCTCATGTCCTTGGGGGTGATCTCCACGTAGACGAAGCCGCCCAGCGAGCTCTCGGCCCCGTAGTGGAAGCGGAGGTAGCCATTGGGGACGCTGTGCTGGTGCTGCGTGGAAGGGTCCATGAAATTGCCTGCCCCACTCAGCACGTAGCCCACGCCGCTCTCATCCTGCAGGTACTGAAGGCGGGGAAGCAAAAGTCAGGGTCAGCGTGCGCTAAGCACACACAGGACAACGGCCGCAAAGTCCAAAGTCAGGGCTAATCTGAAGGACACAGCAAAGGCAGAAGCGGGGAGATGGGCCGCTCCCCCCAAGCAGCCAGGACCTCATCCAGGTCTGCCCACCTGCCTGGCAGAGAGCTGGATGGCACACGAGGCAACCAAGCTCTCACCTGGAGAGCTGGCATGGTGGGTGGTGGTTCACTGCACCCCCTAACACTGGCTCCCCACATTGGCACTTTGAGTGGCAAATTTAAAGCTTGCTGGCCTGTGACTGCACTGGCAGGCACTGCTGTGGCTTGTGGGGGTGGGGGGCATGCTCCTGGCTCAAGAGTATAGAATTTGAGCACACACAGAACAGATTTTGATAGCTTAGTGACTAAATCCTCACCTTGCATGCGCCAGGATCCCACATGGGTGCCAGTTCTAATCCTAGCAGCTCTATTTCCCACCCAGCTCTCTGCCTGTGGCCTGGGAAAGCAGTGGAGTACGGCCCAAAGCCTTGGGACCCTGCACGTATGTGGGAGACCTGGAGGAGGCTCCTGGCTCCTGGCTTTGGATCAGTGCAGCTCCGGCCAGTGCGGCCACTTCTTTGGGAGTGAACCAGCACATGGAAGATCTTCCTGTCTCGCCTTATGTCTGTAAATCTGCCTTTCTAAACCAAATAAGTAGATTTTTAAATAAGAATGCAAGCCCCTCTGCCCGGCCCCCTGGAGCCTCACCTGCAGGTTGTGGTCATGGCCACACAGGTAGGCTGTGACCTTGTACTTGACCAGCAGCGGCTGCAGCTTCTTTACTAAGCAGTGGGTCGAGCCGTGCTCCGCGATGGACCACACCGGGTAGTGGCCGGCCACCAGCACGTAGTCCTCCTTGGCGTCCATCAGGTGTCGCTTGAGCCAGGCCAGCTGGGTGCGGGCCAGGCCCAGGTCCCGGGGCCTCTCGGGCTGCTGGCTGAGGAAGTCGTGGGAGTTGCCGCACAGCGTCACTGTGTCCAGCATGAAGATGGCCACGGACACGTTGGTGCGAGGGATTCGGAAGTGTAGCCGGTAGAAGAGACCAGGAAAGTTCCTGCGAGCGGATGGGGCAGCGTGAGGACAGCAGTAGGCTCACCAAGGCGGCCCCTTCACATTTTGTTTGTAAAATACAAGTAATTAAATTAATGTATTTGAAGACCAGAATGAGAGAGAGAGATTGGTGCTTTGTGGTACAGCAGGTTGAACCTAAGATGCCGGCATCCCACATGGACACCAGTTCAAGACCGGCAGCCCCACTTCCCGCCCAGCTCCCTGCCTGTGGCCTGGGAAAGCAGCAGAGGACCGCCCACAGCCTTGGGACCCTGCACCCGCGTGGGAGACCACTGCGGTCACTTGGGGAGTGAACCAGCAAGCAGAGAAAATTCTCTTTCCGTATACGTGTATGTCACTCTGCTTTTCAAAGAAATAAATCTTTAAAAGAAACAAAACTTGCCATCTGCTGGTTCACTCCCTAAATGCCTGCCACAGGCAGGGCCAGCCCAAAGCCAGGAGCTGCAACTGGGTCTGCCCCGCGGGTGGCACGGACAGAAGCCAGCCCCTGAGCCATGCCCCCGGCTGCCTCCCAGGGAATGGCATCGCAAGCTGGGAACTAGAATGAAAAGAAGCAGAGCCAGGATTCGAACCCGGGCCTTTGAAAGGGGTTCTTCCCCGGGCGCTGCGGCCTCAGTACCCCTTCTTTCCCAGGACGAAGCTCACCAGCGCTTGGAGACTTTGGAGTAGGCGATCTGGGCCGAGACGTTGCCGAGGTGGTCATGGTTCCCGGCCAGCACGTACCAGGGCACTCTCTGGAGCGAGCGGTCGTTGAACACGTCCTCGAAGGTTTCCTGCAGTGGACAGCAAGCGGGCCCCCCACCGCCCAGCCACACGGTCACGCCAACACCCCCACCAACCCAATCGGGGGTTCCCCAGGGCGGCTTCCCAGCCCCCATCCCCACCCTGAGAGCCAGCACCTGGAACCTTTTGTCATTGACACTCTGCACGCCGTTGAAGTAGAAGTTGTCGCCCAGGGACAGGACGAAGTGGGCGCCCAGCATCTGCACGACCTTGCTCATTTGCTTGGCATTGGCCATCTCCCGGGCCGTGTGGAATGGGGCATTGGGGACGCCTCCCCAGTCACCCACGGCCACAAAGCGCAGCGTGGGGGTGGCACCGTCGGCGCCGGGCAGCAGGAGGACGCCTTGCAGGATCAGAAGGAAGGTCCAGGGGTCCATCTGGGAAGGGGGTGAGGGTGAAGGGAGGCTGGGCTTTGTAAAATGGCCCCAGTGTCAGGCTCCTCCTCTAGGGACCCCAGGAGGCAGGGGCTTGCACTGGCACAGGAGGGTCCCAGCCATCGCCATGCACGGCGCAGGAGCGGGCAGCAGAGGGCCCTGGCTGCTCTGGCTCCCCACCCCGCCTCACTGGACACTCACCTTGCTGAGACGCAAGGCCAGGCAGTGGGCTTCGGAAAGGCAAGTGGACAACGGGAAGGAGGTTGCTGGCCGCCCCTTTATTGTCCCCTGGGCGGAAGTGGGTTGGAAGGAATGAGGCAGTACCTTCCCCAGGGTCACGTGAGCTCAGGACTTCCCCAGCGTCTGGCATGGGGTTTGGGGTGCAGGGCTGATCCCGCTGGACAAGCGGGGGGCTGCTGGCAGCACGGCATGGGGTGTCCATGTCGGTGGGTGTGACTGCCCTGTGTTGTATGTGCCGGTCCCTGTGCGTGCAGGTGGGTGTGTGTTGGTGTGTGCAAGGCCGTCCGAGCGTGCCTGTGTGTGTCGGACGCCAGTGTGCACTGCGTGTCCGTCACGTGTGCCCCCGTGTGCTGACATCTCTGTGTGTCCCATGGCCAAGTGTGTCAGTGTCAAGGTGCCCACGTGTGTCTGAGTGGGCGTCTACACCCGCGGGTGTGTTTGTGTGTACCCAAGTGCCGGGTCTGAGTGGGAGGTCCACACACACACACACACCCCTGCAGGCTTGCCGTGGGAGCCCCAGAAACTGTTTCCCATCCACACCCACCCACGCGCCCATCCGGGTCCGGGTGTGTCTATTTCCGGGGTGCATCTGGGTCTGCCCGCCAGCGCACTGCTCTGCCGGTGGCAGCCCTGGGTGGGTGGCTGGGAGCGGGGGAGGTGGGCACCCAGCAGCCATGCGCCTGAACGTCTGCCTGGGTCTGTGTCCTTGGCCTGGCCAGCACGGGCCGTGGCACTCTGTCCGCCCTCCCTCCCCCCACGGACAGCGGTGGCCTCCCTTTTCCGGGAAGTGTTCCCACCCCGCCCACCCCCATCCCCACAGAGGAACCCGGCAGGCAGGCGGCTGGGGAGGCGCCCGCTGGGGACACGCGGCCATGTGACCACAGACTTTTGACCCCTGCATTCCTAGCCTGCTGTCCGCAGGTCTCCCAGGGCACCGAGGGGCCCTTGCACCTGCGCGCCCCTTCACTGTCTCCTCCCACCCCCCCTCCCAGCTCCTGGGGTCTCCACTTTGAAGGTCCGGCCAGCGGCAGCGACTCACCCGTGTCCCCCAGCCCCTCAGGGAGGGGACGAACAGGACGGAGGAGCTGGCGTGGCGCGGGGCAGGCGGCGACCCCTCGGATGGAGACGCGCGCGCGGGACGCCCGGGGTCCAGCCAGGCGGGTCTGGGCGCACCGGCGTGGCTCCCGAGGGTCCAGAGACGCAGCTACAGGTTCGCACCGGAGAGAGCTGGCTCTCCAGGCTGGCCGCGCGTTTTAAAGAGGCGTCGGGCGGCCCGCCCTGCCGCGGGGGCCCCGGGCCAGCCCAGGTGAGCCGCCGGAGCAGCGGGGAGGGCGGCCGCCGCGTGCGCCTCCTCGCCCCGCCTCCAGCCCCGCGCGCCCGCCTTCTCCGTGGCCTCAGTCTCCCCGTCTGTGACATGGGCTCATGGGGAGTCAGGACTCACCCCCTCTCTCTTTATGCCACTCGCGATGCTCGGCGCCACATGCCTGGCATAACGGGGGAGCCTGGGGGAGGGGAGGACGTGGGGTGGGGGTGGTGCCAGCTCAGGTAAGGGAATTTACTGCCTTCAGCCTCAGGCTGCAGGTGCAAGCATGTAGGGAGCGATTCTGGCATCCCATCTTGGATGCTGAGCTGTTCTTCCCCACAGCCCACAACGTTCCCTCTGTCCTCCTCCTCCATCTTGTCCCTTCCCCTGCTCCGGCAGCCCCATCCTGCCACATGGCAGATGTGTCTCCTCCCCTCCTCCCCGCTCCCAGTTCCAACCCTGCTGCAATAAAGGACACATAGTCAGTGTTATTCCAGAGTGCGTGTGTTTCTAAAGGCAAATTTGCAGATGAAGGAGAGTCAGAGAAAGATCTTTCACCTGTTGGCTCCAAGTAGCCACAATGGCTGGAGCTGAGCCGATCCGAAGCCAGGAGCCAGAAGTCTCCTCAACTCTCCCACGCGTGTGCAGGGTCCCAAGGCACCCACCATCAAGAGCTGAGACTGTGGGTGGGCCACACCAGGCGGATGGAGGTACCCAGCAGCATGCAAAGACCTAAGCTGGGGATGCGCCTGGTGGGAGACCTCTGGGCTCTTCCCTGCTGGGCGGCAGCACCCGCTGGTGAGTGTCAGAGCTGGGGCTGCGGCTCAGGCCGGGCAGGGCGCGGCACCTGGCACCATGAATGTGCTGTAGGCCTTTCGACCCAGAATACGGCAGCAACCTCAGTTCTTGTCTCACAGGAGGGAATTTCATGTGGACACAGTTTAGTTTTAAAGCAAGATTCATTAGAAAAGCTGAGAAGAGACTCCGTCCTGGTGATGGAATGGGCTTCAAGCAAGAAAGAACCCACGCCCTGCCTGTGGCCTGGGAAAGCAGTGGAGGACGGCCCACAGCCTTGGGACCCTGTACCCGTGTGGGAGACCCGGAAGAGGCTCCTGGCTTCGGATCAGCTCAGCTCCGGCCTTTGTGGTCACTTGGGGAGTGAATCATCGGGCAGAAGATCTTCCTCTCTGTCTCTCTTACTCTCTGTATATCTGACTTTCTAATAAAGATAAATAAATCTTAAAAAGAAAGAAAGAATAAGATCATTGGGCAAAGAAATCTTGATGGCACCCCATCCTGAACTTGGTGGGGGCAAAAGGGGGGGGCCTGCACCTGTAGACCGGCCCCGACCTCATGTGCCAAGTTCAGCCTTGAAGCTGCTCAGTGCTGTGGGAGCAACAACGAGGGACAAGATGAGGTGGTGCCCGGCACTCAGAGGGCAGACGGCCTGGGCAGTTGGTCAAAGCGTCAGAGCTGTGCTGCTAGGTGGGCCGTGGGCAGCGGAGGCCGTGGCCCGGGGGGGTTCTGCGTGGTCTGGGGCTCAGCTCTGAGCTTGGGGCGAGTGCCTGCCTGGACTATTCCAGGAAGTCCAGGAGCTGGGACTGCCAAGGGCGAGGGGCAGGGAGGCCCGTGCTGGACCATGGCGGGGAAGTGGGGCGGGGGGCTCCAGAGTGTGGTGGGGGTGGGGCTGACCAGCATCCAGGGTGCAGGGTGGAAAACTCTGGGTGTGGGGGGTGGGAGAGCAGCAGAACTGGGGAGCAGGAGCCCCCCACCCAGCACGGGAAGGGTGTGTGTGGGGAGGCGCGTCCCCTGGAAGGGAAGCTGGGAGACACTCAGCTCCCCCAGCAGCCACAGGCCTCCTGCGTCCACGCCCTGCACCCACCACGTGGGAGGTTATTTCCATCCTGGGCATGTGGGCACCTGTGGTTTTTTAATTAAAAAAAAAGAGAGAAGTAAAACGTAAATATTTGTATTCTAAAGAAACATTTGCTTGTATTCTATTTTTTCTTTTTTTTTGCTTGTATTCTAAAAAAGTTAATGCTGATGTGCCTTTGGACACAGTGAAAACAGACTATTTGCGTTCCATAAAGAAACTTCTTTGCAATCTAAAAAAAAAAAAATTAAACTTTTACTTGTATTCTTAGAAAAAAAAACGTATTTTGTGTTCTAAAAAAAGACACTCATTTGTATCCTTAGGAAATAAACTTATTTGTATTCTTAAAAATACAACTTGGGCCCAGCACATTAGCCAAGTGGCTAAACCCCTCACCTTGTACACACTGGATGAATTTATTTTCAAAAATATTGGATGATTCATATTTATTTAACACCACTTTACTCCCCCAGTGGTCACCACGGCTAGTGCTGGGCCAGGAGCTCCCCTGAGCCCCTCTCCCAGGTGAACCAGCAGGGAGCTGGAATCAAAGTAACATAGCCGGGACTCGAACCCGGGACCCGGTGGGATGCTGACGCTGGTAAGAACTTGGCTGGAGGACACAGGAGATTGCCACGGGTCATTTTCTGCCACTCCCGTATGAATATCTGCAGCAGGTGAATTGGTCTTGCGGTGTGAGCACTGGCGTGTCAGGGTGGGAATTCCGCAGAGGGGCTGGCGCGATGGCTCAGTCGGCCCATCTCCCTGCACGCGCCGGGGCCTGAGTGTGCGCAGGTTTGAGTCTCAGCCGCTCCGCTGCCAACCTGGCTTCCTGTTGTGCCACGGTCGCAGCTCTTGCCACGCAGCCCTGCCACCCTGTCGCAGGCATTGGGCACTCAGCTGGAAGCTGGCTCTCTCCTCTGTCACTGCGCCTTCCACACCCGGGGAGAGGAGGAGATGGTTCTAACTGCCTCTGCTTTCTCTTCTTCCTAAATAGCTGGAGGATACATTTATTTACCAAGTCACCATGGGGATGGAGGTTTCTTCTTCTTCTAGATTTTCTGCCCCAACAGCTGAAAACAGAAAGTTTTCAGAGAACAGAGCAGGTGGGAGACCAGGAGGGGCTGCAGAGGCCGGGCCTTTCCACTTCCAGGAAGGTGGGTGCTGCAGGACAGCGGGGAGGGACGCTCTGGCTGTGCCGGCTGTGCACTGGCTGTGGCCCTTCGGGCGGCTGGAGCAGCTGGGGAAAATGGGCGAAGGTGCTCGGTATTTATTTTTTATTTATATCTTCCGGGTCCCCCACGTGGGTGCAGGGTGCTCGCTATTAAAAAAAGAAAGCACAATACAAAGAGAAAAGCCCGGCGTGTTTTTTGTGTCCCCATTGCCTTTCGCTGCAGGCGCTGAGTCCTGCTGCCCTCGTGTGGCCCAGTGCTGCACTGCACGTAACGGCCGACTTGCAGAGCAGAATTTCTCTTTATTTTTTAAATAGATCTGCTTATTTAAGTCTTGAAAAGCATAGAGACAAGGAGGGAGCGTTCAGCAAAGCCGGAGTTGGAGGAGCCCAGTACCTGCTGCCGCCAGGGCCCCACGGGCAGGGAGCAGCGTGGGAAGTGGAGAGCCGGGACTCGAACTGACGGACTTGCCAGGATGAAGTCCAGATGCAGAGCCCAGGGGGCGGGGCCTGCTCCTGTCAGTCAGCCGGGGGGCGGAGCCCGCTCCAGTACGTCAGCCCACAGAGGGCGGGACCAGTACCTGTCCGTCAGCTCACATAGGGCGGGGCCTGCTCCTGTCATCTGGGAGGCGGGGCCTGCTCCTGTCAGTCAGCCGAGGGCGGAGTCAGCTCACAGGGGGCGGGGCCCACTCCTGTCACCCGGTGGGTGGAGCCTGCTGCTGCAAGTCAGCCCAGGGGGGCGGGGCTGCTCCTGTCAGCACTCTCTCTCACTCTGCCTTTCATTGAATCATTTTTCGAAAAGAGTTATTTTATTTTTATTGCAAAATCAGATATGCAGGGGAGGAGGAGAGACAGGAAGATCCTCCGTCCGCTGATTCATTCCCCAAGTGAGCCCATCCGAAGCCGGGAGCCTCATCCGGACGAATCGTGCGAAATAATATAGTTTAATAAAGAATAAATTTAAATAAACAACAATCAATGAGAATAGCAAGCACTTTGTGTAGTTACCATGGGGTACAGGCCTCAGGCCACGCCCCTTCCTGACTCCGCCCTTATCCACAGGCCCCACCCCTAACGCACCCGTCTGTCAAGGACACCGGCCCTTCCCTGATTGGCCCGCGTCCTGCGTAGGCTCCGCCTCCTCGGCAAACGTAGCGCGCCGTGGCGGTCTGGGAAGCAAGTGAGGGCTTTCTCTTTCCGCTTCCGGCAGTGCCGGCGGCGTGGTGGCCGCCGCGCTTCCGCTCTGCGCCCGCCGCCGCCTGCACAGCCCGCGGGGTCGCCCCGAGTGCCCGTCGCCTCGCGCTCCGGAAGTGGAAGCTTCGGAAGTGAGGCGGCGCGGGGGAAGATGGCGGCGGCTGTGGGCATCGCGGCGCCCGGCGGGGTCCGGTCGTGCGAGGCCGTGTCCGACGGGTCCGCGCAGCCCGGACGCTCGGCCCTGGCGGCCGGGCCGGCGCTCATCGAGCCGGGCGACGAGCTGGTGGCCGGCGTGTGGCCGTACCGGCGGCTGGCGCTGCTGCGGCGCCTCACCGTGCTGCCGTTCGCCGGGCTGCTGTACCCGGCCTGGCTGGCCGCCGCCGCGTCGGGCTGCTGGGGCTGGGGCAGCCACTGGACGCAGATCCCCGAGGCCGCCCTGCTCGTGCTAGCCACCATCTGCCTGGTGCACGCGCTCACCGTGCTTTCGGGGCACTGGTCGGTGCACGCGCACTGCGCGCTCACCTGCACCCCGGTAAGTGCGCGTGCACGAGCCGGAGACCCCCGAGGCCGGGCCCCCTTCTCTGACGTTTCCCTGAGCCTGTCCAAGCGGGGTTGCGTGCAACTTGCTGTTGCTGGGAGGAGTGGGGTGCTCCCAGGGCCCTGAACTTGGGGGCGCCTCCGCCGCAAGGGGCTGTTTGTGCACCTGCTGCGACCCTGCAGCTCGGGTGGAGGAGAGAGCTGTACCCAGCAGGCAGTGAGCAGGGGCCAGCAGGAGGCTGCCAGGCACTGCCCGTTCCCTCCCG